TTGGTGATGTCCATGTCCACTTTGTCGTAGTAATCGTCTGGAGTTAGTACAGGATTGCCACTATCAATGTCCAGTTGGCAGTCACCCTGAAAGTTGTGGTTGTTATTATGTGTTTTATATATGTGTTGTCTAAGAACTATTGACAGAATATGGGTGGGTTTACTTACTGCCAAAGATGAATCGAAGAACCACCTTTTGAATTTTCCTTTTTTTGCTTCATTCCTGTTCATTACATCTCCATACCAGTCGATGACATCAGATGTGATTTCACAGCGAATGTCAATCGATTGTACTGACTCCCTTTTCAACAAGAATGTTCCATCCTTCCTTTTAAACATGATCTCATCACTGTATAAAAGCACATCACAACAGGACGGATGGTTTACTTTAATTTATCACATCAAACAATAGGTTACCACAACAAAACCATAGCTTACCACATCTTACCATATGGTAATAAGTAAAACACAACAGCTTACCACATTTTACCATATGGTAATAAGTAAAATACAACAGGAGTTATGGTTTAATCCATTCTTTAACAACAAACCTTAGCTTACCACATCTTACCATATGGTATTAAACCAAAAACAAAACTGGAATTGTGGATTTCTACATTTTGTATGATTAAACCATAGATATATCTAATTTTACCATATTTTACCATATGGTAACAAACTAGATCACTACAGTAACATCATATAACAGTAGAAGTTTTAAGATGATGACTTACCTCTTGACAAATTTCTTGTTTTTGCATCTTATGTACTCCAGGATGTTGATGAACATATCATCAGGTGTTGTTTGTGTTGGTGTTGACCATTCAACTGGTGATCTTTGTGATTGTGGAGCAACTGGTTCAACAGTTGGAGTATTCAGGTCCTCTAGGTAAGCATCTATGCATTCACGCACTTCCTTGAACTTCTCTTGGCTGTTTGTGTACAGATTTGACCATATAGCATATGACTCCTTCTGTGACTGGGTGCTTTGTGGCTGTGCTGGTGGTGGTGTTCCTCTTGCCTTCTTTTCGTTTCCGTGCACATTCTTCACCACGATTCTTCTTTTGCGAGGCTCTCCTGGTTGATCGGTTGCTGTGGTGGTAGTCAACTTCGTTGGTGTTGTTGGTGTTTGATGGTTGAGAGGGCTGAGATCGAAGGATGGAATGTCGTCTTCCCTGTCACTTTAGGCTTCTCAGCAGCTTTGGTTGTCAGTTTTGGAGCCTCTTCTCGAACAACATCATCTGACATCGTTTTCTCGCTGTTAGTTTCTGCAGTCTTTTGCGCAGCTTGCCCTGTATTCCCTTCTTCTGTTGTTTCCTTATCAACATCCATTGGATCTGCTGTTTTGGTAGCTCCTTTTTCTTCTGTTTCTTTTGCAGATGTCTGTTCTGGAACTGCTTTCGGGGTGTCCTCTTGTTGTGGTGTTCCCTGATTCAGACCTTCTTGAACAGATTGTGCTGGTGGTTCTATTGCAACTTTCCCCAGTGGATCTCCTTCTTGGATGCTTTCCCTATCCACAGCTCCTGGAGCAGAATCATCTTGCTCTTTTTCTTTTGCCTTCGGTGTAGATGCAGCAAGATCAACTGTAGATGGTTGTGAATCATCTTCTTTCTGTGTTTGCTCCTCATTCTCCTCTTCGTTCTGGTCTATCTTTGTCTGTTTGAATATTTCATTGAGTGTTTTATTCAAACTGGCATTAATTTCTTCATCATTCTCTTCTTCATCATCTTCACAATGAGATTTTTCTCCTTCTGTGGGCTGAACATATTCATCACAGCTTTCTTTCGCAAGATTCTCCTTGTGTCTGATCAGATTGTCAATTTGGCTTTTGTACTGGTCTTTGATTGCTTTCATCATTGCCTTCATTGATGCTTCAAGCAGTTTGATTGCATTCTCAGCCTGCATAATGGGAGTTTTTGTAAGATACCATGGTGGTAATGTGTATATGGTGTATGGTTAGTTACCATGGTGGTAATACATGGTATTGGCAATCATTATCACTATTCTGCATTTTTATAACATGAAACTATATCTTACCACATCTTACCATATGGTAACAAAGTAAAACAGAATAGGAATTATGGTTTCCTCCATTTTTATAACATGAAACCATAGCTTACCACACCTTACCATATGGTAACGAAGTAAAACACAATAGAACTTATGTTTTCCTCCATTTTTATAACATGAAACCATAGCTTACGACACCTTACCATATGGTAACAAACTAAAACACAACAGGACTTATGGTTTCCTCCATTTTTATAACATGAAACCATATCTTACCACACCTTACCATATGGTAACAAACTAAAACACAAAAGGACTTACGGTTAGCATGAATTGGACAACTGTAATATAGATAATTTGTACTTACTTGGTTGACTGTTCTGATATTCTTCAAATCAAAGTTCAGTGATGATGACTGGTCTGGACTTTTGTTTCTTTGTCTTTTCGGTGACTGATAGACTGGCTCATTCTCCTCTTCCTCATCAGTTGCATCATCAGCCTCATTGTCACTAATGTTGGCAACCTTTTCGATCTCGTTCAATTCTTTTCCATTGTAGTAGCTCTTAATGTTCTCAAAGTTGCTTTCGACATTGATATCATCATAGTAGCTTACTGTTGGTGTTCGAAGCTGGGTTGAGAATGCCATTTCGTCCAGTTTGTACATGAAGCATACCTTTTTATGCAGATAGTTGTATTAGTTTTTTCAAAGAGTATCATTTATGTATAAAATATATGAGTAACAAGGTTGAAATGGCCAAGGGAATGGAGACTTACTGTAAGGAAGTGAAGATCTGCACTGACGTAGAGGGTTGGTGATTTCAATCCTTCATTCATGTGGTTGAAGAAGTATTTGCACCAGTTGTAGCTGGTGAAATGTTTCAGTTCATCAGTCTTCAAGTACTCAAGCATGTTGAGTTCAGCCATAGGGGCTGAAGTTGGGCACAACAAGCCTCCGGTGACCAGCAGAAAGAACAACTGTAACCATCTCTTACTGTTTGTAGTTGTAGGAAGATCTTTTTCTACCTGACTTAGCTTTACCCTTGGAGTGTATGCTCCTTCTACTTCCAGTAGGGTTTCTATTGCATAATCTGCTGCGTCGTCCCAAGAAATCATGGGAGGTACAACTTCCCTATTCCCCATCGGCAGACCATATACCCTATGAAAGTCGATTGGTGATATCTTCATGCGTGTCCCCTCAGGTAGCTTGAATGCTTGTTTCATTAGATTGTATTTGTTCATTACGAACAGTGCAAAATTGTTGTTTATCTTTGTCTGCTTGATTGATATTAAGCCTGCTAGGCCCAATATCTCAAGTTGCGCTTTCTGCTCATCTTTTATTGTCCTTGCAATTGCAGATACTCTTGTTGGGCTGCACCTTGTGCGAAAAGTTTTTCTTTGCTTTACCATAGTGTACCTGAATGTAGAAATTAGGAATAGTCTGTTAACATGCTTTTTACCATAATATACCATATGGTACCATAATGGTTTCCTATCATACCAAATCAAACCATATATTTATCACATTTTACCATATGGTAATTACATGAAACCATGTCTTATAACATCTTACCATATGGTAACGAAGTAAAACACAACAGGACTTATGTTTTCCTCCATTTTTATAACATGAAACCATAGCTTGCCACACATTACCATATGGTAACAAACTAAAACACAGAAGATTTATGGTTTTTTGCTATTTTACAACATGAAACCATAGCTTACCACACATTACCATATGGTAAGAAACTAAAACACAGCAGGACTTATGGTTTTTTGCTATTTTACAACATGAAACCATAGCTTACCACACATTACCATATGGTAACAAACTAAAACACAGCAGGACTTATGGTTTTTTGCTATTTTACAACATGAAACCATAGCTTACCACACATTACCATATGGTAACAAACTAAAACACAGCAGGACTTATGGTTTTTTGCTTTTTTACAACATGAAACCATAGCTTACCACACATTACCATATGGTAACAAACTAAAACACAGCAGGACTTATGGTTTTTTGCTTTTTTACAACATGAAACCATAGCTTACCACACATTACCATATGGTAACAAACTAAAACACAGCAGGACTTATGGTTTTTTGCTATTTCACAACATGAAACCATAGCTTACCACACATTACCATATGGTAACAAACTAAAACACAGCAGGACTTATGGTTTTTTGCTTTTTTACAACATGCAATCATAGCTTACCACACATTACCATATGGTAACAAACTAAAACACAGCAGGACTTATGTTTTTTTTGCTATTTTACAACATGCAATCATAGCTTACCACACATTACCATATGGTAACGAAGCAAAACACAACAGATTCTACATCAGTTCAACAACGCATGGTAACAATTCGGTAATTTAGCGAGTTTACTACAATTTTCACATGAAGAGTGACTGAAATACTGTTTCTATTGTTCTGTGGATGGATTTCGAAGAAAGAAATGAGGTTTTACTTGATATTTTGTGCGAAAACGATTTTTGAGCCTCGTTGAAGTTGGAAACCCTTCGTTTTTCGACGAAGAAGCGAGAACAGTGTATCGTTGAATGATTCTTCGAAAACCTTTGCGAAAATCGTTCGATTTGAAGTTTATTTTGTGTTTTTTTCTGGAAGTTTTTGCTGCGATTTTGGTGAGAGAATTGAGGATCGGGAGGAAGAATGGAGAGTTAGAGAGCAGAGGGAAGTGGAACTGTCGCTTGAAAGGTGAGAGAAAGAAGGAGAGAAGGCGGGACGGTTGTCGTTGTCACGTCTGCAATTCAAATTGTCAGAGACGTGATTACTATTTTGCCCCCGCGTGTAGTGAATTTGCATGATCTGATGGCTGGAAAGATGGCGCGATGGACGGTGAGATGGATGGTTACTGACCGTTACTGAGGTGATCCGGACCCGGGAATTAACCCCATTCCAACCTGGGTACCACGGTTGAAAGAAACCTTTTCCTTCCCGGACGTTAACTGGATGGAGATGGTGAGTCATGCTACAAGAAATTCCCATCTGCTGGTGGGGAAAATTGAAAACCTTTGTAAAAGAAAAAAAATCCAGAATCATACCAAAAAGCTGTACCAGGCTGCGGTTTACGGCTTCCAAATTTTCTAAAGGAATATACTCCAAAAACACACTCTAATATCCAGATACCCAGAGCTCCATCTGTCAATCAGTTTTTCAAAACTTAAATTATAACTTCACTGCCAACGACCAATCCCTCATGCAAATCAAGGAGCAATAATACAACTATAGTTGAAACAAAGTAATGGTGGTTCGTTTTCTTGCTTCACCCACCGCCATCGTCCCACGTTGCCTCCATTCTTCTCCCACTTTCAGGTACTCCTACGAGGCTACGACTGATCCCTTTTGTTAAATTGGCTAAAAGGTTTCTATTTTGGATTACTTTTATTTCTTTAATTGATGGGTTTCCGTCACTGTGTACTCTTTCTTCACACTGTTTGATAATGTTTTCAGTTTTCCAAAAGCTCGATTTGTGTTGTTGCGCCGGGATTGTTGACAATCTAAGTTCACGCATTCCCCATCGCCTAACAACAACTCGCGTTGGACTTAATTGCTTGAATGCTTCTTCGTTTTGTCCTTCTCCAATTGATTTTTTGTTCCTCAGCTGCAGTTTGGGAAAATTTTACTCTGAGGAATAGGGGCTTTTGGATCTTTCAGGGAATTGGGCAGATCAAATTTTACGAATTCGGAAATGGGTAGTGAGTATTTGGACCCGAATGTTGTCAAGTTGGCAAATTTCCGGGTGTGCAAGGTTTCCAGGTAACTTCGACATGGTACAAGATGCTATTGCGCTTCTGTAGCCAGTTATTTCGGTTCCTTATTTAGTACTTGTACTGATCTTTCACTGTCCAGTTACACGACTGAGTTGCTAGAGATTCAAGCTGATAACCCAACAGTGCATGTCCTCTTTGTCCCTGGAAATCCAGGTAATGTTTTATGGTTACTGGTGACTGTTTTGCTGCGTTATTAATACCCAGTCTCAGTGTGGACTTGAGCAGAATTAGGATTATGGGTTTTGCCTGTTTACAACAGGTGTTGTTTCATTTTACAAGGAATTCGTGGAATCTCTGTATGGTTCACTCGGAGGGACTGCATCTATTACAGGCAATACTCATCTTCGTTTTACCTTATGCTAGTTTGAGTTTTGTTATGCTGGCTGAATCTAATTGAATGTTCCTATTTTTTTCTTTGCGAACAGCAATTGGGCACATTGCTCATACAAAAAAGGTGCGTAACCATATATACAGTGTTTGCTTTCCTTGGCATGGAAATGTTCACTTCCAGTATTTGTTGCCAACCAAGATTCAAGATGTTGGCTAGTGCAAGTGCTTATAGTTCACAGATCGGTTTCTGTTGTACCCACAGGAGCATAAAATTAGAGTTGGCCTTTAATTTCTTCATTAATTGACTGGACATCCTGCTCAATGATACCAGACAATTGGTTTTTGGTGTGTTCCCTGTGTGGTATTTATGGCGACAGGCTCTGAAGTTTCTATGTATTTTCAGAACTGGGAGCAGGGGCAGTTGTTCTCCTTACAGCAGCAAATTAATCACAAGGTATTCATCTATATGCTTCATTTCACAGAACAATCAAGTTGAATTATGTACATAATCTATAGTTCCGTGACACCTAATTAATTCAGATGAGTGTCGGACCTCAGGGCTCTTTATTTTGTAGCAAGAGAAACTTTCTTCTCAAGTTTCGTTTGCTCTTCTGAAAAAGAACTGTTGTATTTTTGAGTGTCATATTATCTCCTGCTCACTGAACTTCTTTTCCCCTGCTATACCGGTAACACCACACTTTCACGATTGACATCTGATCTTGAGTTCTGTTTCCCCTACGTAGGTGGACTTCCTTAGCCAGGAACTTCAAGAAACTAAAGTTCCCATTGTTTTGGTAGGGTTGTTTTCCTTTTCTTATTTCTGTTCCTTGATCTTTAGGTATAAAGTCTTTTTGGTTAATGATCGATTGGCGTTAAATGAATTCAGGGATAAATTTTCTGTTGATTTTGTGTTTGCACCAATGTATAATGCACTCTTCAGGAACAGATTAAACTAGGTGATGCAGTTGTACTGAGTCCTGGTTAAATACAAGAACTTTAACTATTTGTTATCAGGGATCAACTGGATTGATCTCTATGTGTCAACCATCTAGGAAGCTTTGATTTATATAGATCTTGATGAGATATAGTACATATAACTGAAAATGTACTCTCATGACATTGGCTTTTACGTATAATAAAAGCACATGTGTTTGTTCAGGAAGTGTCTCTCTTATCCTCAAGTTGCCAGTTTTGTCACCCTATTTTTTTCTTTGACCGCTGGGCATAGGTTACTGCTTTACCTCTGATTTTCAAGATCGTGCCTTACTTTTCAATGGTATTGTATTTTGGGAATGGAAATCCCTGCTAACTTATAAAATTCCTTTATGAAGGTTGGACACTCTATTGGTGCCTACATAACAATGGAAATGTTGAAGAGAAAGGGAGATCAGGTAAAGATGGACGCTGGGTTTACAGTTTCAGTGAATCGATAATGTCTCGTTTTGACATGTCTCTTTCGTAAACATTACAGGTGATATATTTCATAGGGTTATACCCCTTCATAATGGTAAATCCTCAATCAAAGAAGCAGGCCAATATTGCAAAAGTCTCGAGGTATATCTATTTTTGTTTTTGAGTAAGATCAGTTCCACTTTTCGCCTTTATAATAATGTTTGATATATATATCCAGCTTGCTTCGTCATTGCATTGAGTTTATGCTCATTTATTTTTCTTCAGCTCATGGTATATAGATAGGCCGGGTTATATCTTGAGAATATGCAGTTACATTGATGGTAGATTTAGAGCAGCAATGAGTAATACCCATTGATTATTCTATTAGTTGGGGACTTTTAAAATTATTATTATTATTATTATTATTATTATTATTATTATAGTTAAATCAAATTTCATTAAGCCCGGGTGAACCAAAGAAAACCTTCGTCACCTCTCATGATTACAACCATCGAAGGAGATAGCATTGTGCCGAACCCTTAGGAACAACTATCCTCTATACAACCACGTATACAATCAAAACATAACAGTCCTACACAACTTTTATACCGTTCTAACTGTACAGAAATGAAACTTTGTTGAAGGTCATAATCTCTCAGAAGCTTGGTTCTAACACTTCCCTGCAAATCCGTGAGCAACTGTGCAGGAGTTTTGCCTCTTCCACTGCCATACATACGAGAGCATCTCTCTCTCAAAACTAGGCTGATAGCCAAACCCCAAATCAGACAACATATCTTCTTCGTTAGCTGCTTCCCACTCCATTTCATTACACACCAATTCACCATGTCATCCCCAGTAGTTAACTGGTCAGGAGGGCCATGCTTCTTTACACTACTGCAGATGATAAATTTGATACAGTCCACAATTAGGTGATCTTGACATTCCATTCCACCAGGACAGAGGAGACACAATCCAGAGATCGGCTTGCCCCATGAGAGCAATTTATCCTGCATAGCGAGTCTCCTGTGCATTGGTAGCCAGAGTATAGAACTGAGTCTTGGTATCATACACTTATTCCAGACAATTGAAGGTACTCGAGAACCAGGATTTCTTATAGAGTTCCAGACCCTCTTGATTGAAAACCTCTCCATAACTTCCCCTTACCACGTTAGTGAATTTCCAGCTCTAGAGATAAAGGGATAAACTGCTTCTCTACATTTCAGCACTTGTTACCATATCCAGGAGCCTCCAAACAAACTATTATTACTGGATAATAGAGATGAATTGAATTTTCAGATCATCCATCCTGAGTTGCCTGATGAGTTTGATGGTAGCATCAATTGGACTGCTGCCTAAGTGGCTTTCCCAGTACATAGTGGTACAATATATTGGTAACAGTTCGTGGTCTACTTCAGCTGTCGAAACTGCTCGTGGTCATTTGCTGAAGGTGAAGTTTCTACCTTACTTCTCTCTCTCTCTCTCTCTCTCTCTCTCTCTCTCTCTCTCTCTCCATATTATATATCAAAAGACTCCATTCTTTCCGGAAAGGTTCTCACACTATAATTTGACATCCATCTTCGTGGTGTGCTTGTTAATTAATTCTTGGACTAAAGAAGTTCTAATCCTTTTGAGATGGTTTGTTTCACAGTACCATTTGTTCAGGAACATGCTTTACATGGCAATGACAGAGTTCAAGGAGGTGAGAAATGCTTCCTTCTTTTTGAGGATGAATCTTGAGAACTAATTCCTGTAAATAAACATGGGTTTTGGTTATGTTAGTTTTCACAGGCACCAGACTGGGAGTTCATGAAAAAGAATCAACGTAAAATGACATTCCTGTTTGGTGATGATGACCACTGGGGGCCTTTGCAAGTCTATGAGGAGGTTAGCATTCTGACATGCTAATAATAATGGCAATTAAATTGCATCTCAAAGTTTGTATCATCTTTACTGGAAGCCTTTCGGTTTTGAAATGACTTTTTGTTCGATTCCCGGTCTGCAGGTTGCAAAGCAGGTCCCTGACATGGCCTTAATGATAGAAAGGGAAGGCCTTTCCCATAGCTTCTGTTGCACTGAAGCGGGCTCTATCTGGGTTGCCAGGCATGTAGCAAGCTTAATAAAGATTCAAACTTCAAGCTCAGCTTCTGCAGCAGATGATGGGAAGCTCTCTCAGATCGCTTAGGAGCTGGTTATCGTACGATAATCCTTACAAGTATTGGACAGAGAAAGTAGCAAAAAATGATCAAGGGACAAGGAACCACCATTCTTTCAGTAATAGTTGGTGTACTTATTTGTATATCTTAAGCTGCTTTCTTTTCTATTGTTGTTTGATGTGTGTAATTGTGATAGTGTGAACTTTCTAAGAGGCAATAGAGGGGGAAATGGTAAATGGCAAAACAGTTGCTCAGATCCCCTAAATGACAACATATGTTATATGTACACTTCTTGCCTAGTGCAGCGAACCAATGGTAAATGACAAAAAGCATCAGTGGATGGATGAACTCCACTGGTACGAACTTGTGTGGTTAGATGGGATAAGAAAATGAACGAAGGTATTGGATAGTGGTATTCTAAACAAAATAAACTTTGTTCTTATTTTGATTGACGGGTTGATAGAGACTGAGATGTTATTTCTCGCACTTATAGAGTGAGGATGATAAGGAGTAACGATTAGATGATGTTTGGATATAGTTCACCAATTACTATTTGGAGGATGGTTCTCCACTGGGCTCATAAAAATAGCCCATTAAATTAAAGGTTGAGATCTGTTAGGAAAATATAGGTAGTGGAATATGGAGCTCACAGACTGAAAAAACAATTAATAAGTGAAAACAACCACTAAATTAAAGGTTGAGATCTGTTAGGAAAATATAGGTAGTGGAATATGGGCCTCACAGACTGAAAAAACAATTAATAAGTGAAAACAACCGAAAAAGCAACTAACAAATTTTAACTAATAGATACTAGTTGTATATCTATATTCTAGTTGAACAAAAATCATATTTGTATTAAACAAATAACATATTTGTATTGAACAAAAAACATATTTCGTATGTGTGATTTCTGTATTCGTAATTTTCACAACTTGTATTCAAAATGAGTACACATATTAGAAAACATATTCTTATTGAACACAACATATTTGTAATGATCCGAAAACAGATTTCATCTCCGAGGATCAATCTAAGGAACTGGGAAGAAGAAGCAGAATCAAGTTCCCATGGTTTTTCCTCTTCTCTAGTTGTTGTTCTTTCTCGAGTTATGTAGTAGTTTCTATTTTCATTTGATAATGTAAACTCTAGTCTAGGATGTTGTATATTGATGGTTGTGAACTCTATGTGATGATGGACATGTTTAATTATATATGGATTGTGAATTAATCATGAAACTTTAGTGTCTTTGATTGATTCCATCAATTTTGGGACAAATTGACCTAAGAGAGAAAGCTCCTTATAGCAATTTGGGTCGGTATTCAATAATCACAGAGAGCCATGAGTTACGGTGATTGGTACCTTTATGTTGTTCCGGGTCAATAAACGAGGGAGTGGATTTAGTAGCCCTATTCGTCTTTTGCGGTAGTGTGGTACGCCCCTCCGATTAGATCAGTTAGGCGGGTTAGGACTAATGGTATATCGAACTAGAGTGTCACCATCTCATCTCAAAACGGGACTATAGGGAATATTATCCGAGTGGAGCCTTCTCATCTTGAATTCACCATCATTTCAGTAGTTTGTTTGCTTAGCTTGATAGTTTTAAACAACGTTCTGATCACTAGATAATTTGTGGTTTACTGAAGTGAAGGTAGATGAACCGCCTGGGTCGATAATTGTAAATATATTTTCACTATACTACACCATCGTATGATTATACTAGGCCTATGGTGGGAGTGTGTAATAGGTTCTCTTCAACCATGATTGCTTGCAGAGGACTTCCTACAAAGATGAGAGTTCCGGAAGTTTTCACAAACCCATGTACTTTTGGTGATAAAACCTACTGGAATCCCTTGACAGATTTGAGTTCAAGCATCAACATCATACCAACAAAGGTTTTATTATGAGCTTGTTCTTGGTCCCCTTACACCGATGAATATGAAGGTACAATTAAATAATCAGTCAGGGGCAACGCCTAAGGGTGTGGTTGAGAACTTCTTGGTTAAGTGTGCTCATTTCATCTACCCATGGACTCGTGATAATGGAAATGGAAGGATGTAATGATGCACCTATCATTCTTGGAAGACCATTCTTGGCCAGTGCAAGAACCATCATCAATGTGAGTAGCAATAGTATCACTTTGAGGTTTGGTGAGGAGGAGATTCATTACATTATGTCTCCATATCATTCATTTCACGAGTATTTTCAATGGGAAGATATAGCTAAGGATTGTGAGCCGATAAACCCTACCCTTACTCCACCATTAAGTCTAGAAATTAAATGGCTTAACATGGTCTCCATGTTTGAACCCTGTGGTGTGAAAAATTATTCAGAAGAGTACAAGATGAAGATTGGTTATACAAGAGCCATCAATAAGAAGAAATTTGAAGAGTTTCTCAAGATGTAAAGTATTTTCAAGGAAAAGGAAAAGAAGCTGAAGAAATTTGAGCCAGAAGAAAGGTACCCCAAGTTGAAGATCAAGGACCAGACAAGGAAGTTAAAATCGAGCAATGTTGCTCTGATCAACAAAAAAAAAAGAGTCTGGGGAGTGCTTCAAGTTACTCACGAACATAGACTTCAGAATTGGATCAATTGGAGCCATCTCAAGGGTCATCCTCCTGAGAGGGACTTTGAGTCATATGAAGTAATAATTCCAATTGAGAGGCTTCACAGTCTTCACTTGGGACTCCATCACAAGAGTGTCGATTACGAAGCACTAAGGATGGATGAAGGTGTCATTTTCAATTAGCTCCATCAAGTGTAATGATTCCAAAAAAACAAGCAAAAAGTCGCGCTTGTTTGGAAGCAACCCAACATTCGGTTTGCACTAGAGAGGCAACGCAACGTAGGCTAGCATTTGTATTGAGAAGTAGTGGGTTTCCAAGTCCATGGCTAAGTAATTATTACGGCTTGGGTTGTAATTGATATCTTATTAGGTTCGTTCATTGTATATATTCAAATCCACAGATAATTGTGAAGTCTAGCCCACGATCTCACCACCCAAGTAGTCCTGCACGTTGTCATTTAAAGATCACTGTATGATGAACACGATTAGTATATCTTGGTTTAGGTTTATGAATCAATGTCTAGCATGGTTTAGCCCTAGGTTTCCTTCGGTTATTTCTAGCTTGTATGTGAATGAATGCCTCTTACAAAAGATAATTGATTGGTAGTCCTAGTTGGTGGACGAGATGATCATCTTCTACCAACTAGAAGCTCACCTAGATAATGCTTGTGATACGAGTACATGACCATTGACTTGTAAAACTGATTTACGAACGATTTAAATTTGTATAGAGAAGGTAAATTTTCACCCATAGTTAAGAAATTTGGTTGTGGTGACATTGGGCCGGTGGACATGGCTATGAAAAAGATTCGGGAGACATGACCATTGCACCAAATCTCTCTCTAGTATCCTTCACACTACAAATGCCATGAATCCATTATCTATCATTGCATGTTTGCCTGTAGTTAGGGTGAGAGTAGCTCCTTGCTCAAGTTTTTGCATAGTAAATTTGTGTAAATTCCATAGCTCTTTCCTATAGCCCGACCCTCTATTTATAGTACATAGGAGAAGGGGTTTTTTAGGCTTTCTCTATAAATGGGCCAAAATCTTCATTGTACAACTGAGACTTGAATTCTCTAACTCGAGGATGAAAAACGAATATTCCAGAAGATCCCATTGGGTTTGGGCCTATGGAGGCCTCCTAGAGCTCAACGGCTACCGATTTTCTTCGTCCAGTGGTAGTGTGTGATATGCTCGATGAATATCTAATCATATGCATAGTAACACCTGGCCCTCACAATGACAAGTATACCACTACTAGGCTTGCAGTATAATGGCTCGATCGTATTCCCAAGGGAAGATACTGTAGTCTACTCCCATGAAGTTAGAATATTATCCAATCAATAGTTTTTTGTTTATACTATGGAACAAGCAACTCTCACCCTCACTACAAGAAAACATGCAAATGATAGATAATGGATTCATGGCAATTGTAGTGTGAATGTCACTAGAGTGGAACATGAATAAATAAGGTCATTTTTGGGGCCGACCTCGATTAACTTTGGAGGTCTCGTGGTCAGTTGATCAATCTGGATGCCTACTCCACACCTTTCAATGACACAAGAGATGTTGACCGAGAGTACCTTAGGTGGTACAGTTTGCACACCCACCCACACATTGTCCCCCTCTCCTTAGATAGTGTGCAATAAGAGGCGGTGTTTTTGACATATGAGATGGTCAGTTTTATGTTTTTTCCCTATTGGTAAATGTAACACCCTACCCTATACGTTTTGCCTAATCATATTGTTCATACAATTGCAGCGGAATTAATCTCGGGTGTTACATTAATTATCAAAATTTACCCAAATAAAATTTCGACATGAATTACTCGCATAATGGGCTAACAGTTCTTCCATCTAATCCTGCAAAATAATTCATCTAAAATCCATGCATTCATAGACAAGCATATACACTCACTGCCATACGCATTGGCTTTTCATAGCCATAGTCACCGTTTCATGTTACACAACTGCATACTATACTGATACATGCCATAATCGTCACAACTTACATAATTACATAAATATACACATATCATCAACTTTCCACACCTGTGGATATCACACACTACATCAGAAGCTAGTATGCACATGAAAAACGTTCTCAAAACATTTTACAAAAAGGTGTGGATCACTGGCCAAAATCCCGAGTAGTAGTCCAAGCACAGAATAGTTGAAGACCATACCTCATCTTGCCTTCAACTCTTGCTTAGCTCCCACCTATACACCTATCTACTGCTGCTGCTGATGATGATCTGCTTACACATAGCATAAGCAGAGGAAAAGAATAAAAGAGGGTCAGCTCATAGCTGAGTGAGATAATCATAGCATCGTGAGTTCATAACAGAGCATACCCCTACCATACATCTAGCAAACAAGCCAAAGCACTAGGATCAGCCCTCAGCCATCCGACATCCCAATAGGCAAAAGACTCAACCACCTTGACTTATGCATATGCGTCTTATCATGTTTTACTTATAGGCGCCTGGCTACTCCCATGCTAATTACTTACGGGATTTTTGGATCAGTATTTCTCAAGATTGGAGCTCGGAGAATTTCCTGCTCTGTCTCCCCTGCGCGCCCTGTACTCTCGGTTTCTCTCGGCCGAAATAGAAAGAAGAAGAATTGGAATGTGATGGGATGGAAATGGACGGAACTTATATATGGCCGCTTAGTGTAATTAAATATATATATATATATATATATATATATATATTATATAATTAATACGTATACTTATCCGATCGATCGATAATCCAATTTTCGTCGAAATAGTGTCGAAATGCTCGATTTTAAATCGCGAACTTTCTAGCGATCGAAATACGGTTTTAGACGAAACGGGATGTTACAATTCTCCTCTCCTTAAAAGATTTCGTCCCCGAA